AAGTTTCTGACTCATTCATTCTCTCCTTCCAGTCTTGGCTCTAATGGTACCTTCTAAGTGAGGCTTTGTCTGACAACTCAATCAAAAAACACAAGTTTATCCTTCCCCCTTGGAACACATTCTATTTATTTATTTTCTGTTTCTATTTAATATAAGGTCATGAAGACAAAAATTTATCTTTCATTATTAAATGTTCAGGTTCTAGAACAGTACCTGACACATAGAGATACTTACTGTTAAAAGAATAAATAACTGCGTGGGGGCAAAAGAGGGGGTGGGGCTTATAAGGCTGAACAAGTTTTATTGGATAGTATAAGTCAAAAATAATTGACAAGAAATAGCATGATACAACAAAACAAATATAAGTCAAATGAACTTTGAGACTTTAGACAGGAATGCTGGGAAGCTAAGACAATATTAAATACAATAGGATTTGCTTTTTAATTATGAATGCTCCACGCCTACAAGCTGCAAGTAGTTTTTCATGGTTTCATTGATGAGTGAAAAGTACAAGGAACAGCAAAAACATTTGTGAAAAATGGAATTTATTTTGGGGGCAGGCATGTGGTGCAGAGGGTTAAGCTGCCACTTCAGACACCTGTATCCCATACTGGAGTATCTGCTCAAGAACCAGCTGCTCCACTTCTGATCTACATTCTTGCTATTGCATCCTAGAAGCTAGCGGGTGATGGTTCAAGTGCTTGGGTCCCTGCCACATGGGAGACCCAGATGGAGTTCTGTGCTCCTGGATTTTGTTTGGCCCAGCCCAGGCTGTCGCAGACATTTGGGGAGTGAACCAGCAGACAGAAGATGTCTCCTTCATACCTATCTCTCTCTCTCTCTCTGTTGCTATCTTTCAAGAAGATAAAAATATATAAACATTTCAAAAAGATAAGTTTATTTTTATACAAAAAATTCTGAAATGCATGCAAAGTTTTACATAATACATATTTTCCATGAATTTTCTGATAGCCATAGAGCTACTCATTTAAAATACAGATTCAAAAATTACAGTAACAAATTTCCATTTTTAAGTGGATCCAACTTTTGATAAATCAAAGATCTAAGGCAGAATCTTGGTGTCCCAAGACAGCACAGTCCCAACTTTCTAGTTTATGGCAAACTCAACAGAAAACAAACTGGCATCTCACCCTTCTATGAGCCTTCTTGGCCCATCATAGTTGATCTGGAAAATAATGTCAAGAATCCATAACTCGTGGCACCACTCACACACCTTAAGAACTGCTTTTCCTATAAAGACAGTGCCACAGAAAAAGGCTTTGTTCCAAACAAAGAAATAAAAATGGTAGCAGTAGTTATTGTCCAAGTGGTATTTTGGGAGGTATTCCAGTCAAAGAACAAGGTATTGAACCATATAAGAAGTGGATTTCTAATGCCTTCCCTGCTAAAATTCATCTCTTATAGCTAAGAGTACCAAGCAATTGCCAGCAAAGCTGGAATAGGAAAATCAAATACTCTGCCTATTTACATATGGTTCCCCAAAGCCATTTCTGATTAAAAATTGTACCATTTCAATCTTCCTACTGGAGATATCTATTAACTAGAACTGCATGTGAAAGCCAATGAATTTAGTATATAATTACACGTATCCTATACAAATTACTTCCCAATGACTTCTACTCATGAAAATAAACCAAAGAGGGATGATCGGCTCACTATAAATCTACAAGATTTCCCTGGGAGAAGGTACTGACAGCAAAGTCCTGAAAGACCTTAAGCTTCAACTGAATAGAATTTCCATAGGAGGCAATCGCTTCTGAACATGAACTCTCAGTACAGCTGATGTGAACCTCTCCATTGGTAAGCAACACTCCAACTTACATCCCTGCTCTTGTCACTAAATAGGTACGTGACCTTGGACAAACTGCTTCCCTTCTCCCCCATTCCAGGTTTTCATGTGCAAGATGAGAGACTAGAACTAGGAGATTTCAAAAGAATCTTCCAGGTCTAATGTTTCATCATTTCCTAGTTACAAGCACAAGAGCACACCTTATAACATCTAGCCTCCTGATACGAGGAGAGCATTTCATTTACCTTTTTGTCCCATAATGTGTAGAATAGCTAACTGAACTTCCCTTGGCAACTGTTCAACAAACTTACTCAAAAACAGGGAAACCAGTCCAATTCCCTCAAGTTTCCACTCTCTGTGACCTCCTCCTTCAGTCCTTCCAACCCAACCATGATTTTAACCAAACTGTCTCTGTTCATGCCCAACCTTACCATAGTTCTGGCAGAATTATAAGGAGGCCAGAAAACTAAACACATCACTTGTCACCCAGAAGAAATCACCTGGAAGAAATGCACTCACCAGGAAACTTCAAGGCACATGCTTTGTACACCATCAGACCCAAAACCACAAACATAGCCAGAGACCTAGAGTTTCTTAGAATAAGCTAATCTAATGCATTCCAATCATTTGAGAGTATGTGCTAGAAAGTTCCAGCAGACCTGGGGGAGAAGAGAAATTGAAGGGAAAAACAAAGATGTCAGAACCTGCAAGGAAGAGCACATGGAACATTCCTTTCACCTTTCTACAAAAGGAACATTTACAAAACCCAAATCTCCAAAGGCAGCTATGCTATAGGGATGGGAACTGCCTGCTCATAAGTCATATAGCCACAGATTTAATATTCTGAAGCCAGAATGCTTGGGTTTAAAGGCTAGCTCTGGGGGCCGGTGCTATGGCATAGTGGGTAAAGCCGCCTGCAGTGCTGGCATCCCATATGGGCTCCGGTTTGTCTCGGCTGCTCCACTTCCAGTCCAGTTCTCTGCCATGGCCTGGGAAAGCAGTACAAGATGGACCAAATCCACCCATGTGGGAGACCTGGAAGAAGCTCCTGGCCCCTGGCTTTGGACTGGTGCACCTCCGGTTGTTGCGGCCAACTGGGGAGTGAACCAACGGACGGAAGACCTCTCTCTCTCTCTCTCTCTCTGCCTCTCTTCCTCTCTCTGTGTAACTCTGACTTTCAAATGAATAAAATAAATCTTTAAAAAAAAATGAACAATTCTAGCTCTGCTAATTATTATTCTTACTGTATAAACACAAACAAAGTAATCACCTGTGCCTCAGTTTCTTCATCTATAAATAAGAATAAAGCTTCACTTGATCAATACTTCATTTACTGGGTTATTGTGCAGATGATAAAATGGGTTAATATAATACAGTGCTTACAACAATGCCTAGCGCATAACATGTGCTAATAAATGACAGCTCCTAGTATTGCTACTATGATTAGATGGAGCTCTGGGACCGTTAGGGGTTAAGAGAACAAAGGAATTACATTGCCCTTATAAATTCAAAGTCTGTAGTTTCCCCTTGCAGGTGAGAACTGAAAGTACAAACATTTCTACATATAAATTATACTTGTGTACTTTATCAGCCTTCACTACTCTCAACCACAGAAACTATTCATTAAAAATCTAAATTCCTCTCTGAAAGATATTCTAGGTTTCAAAAACTACTCCCTTGCCCACAAGAAGGGAGTACAATAGGACTATTAACTGTGGGGCTGAGAGGAAGCGGGCACACAAAGACACCTTTGTAGCAGTCCCAGCTATCATGTACCACTGCTTCAGTTTCGGAGAGTGACCTTCTTAAGAAAAAACCTGACAAACTCCATTGTTCATTACATCGGAGTTCTTGGATGTGACTGTTCTCAGGTCCCTGGCAGAGCCTGACTGAAGATCAGGAGATCTCAGCTCTTTCCATCAGGCAGCACTGAATCCTTCAAGGGATTTTCTTCGGTCAGCATCATCATTTGAGATGCCAGAGAAACTTGAAATTCCCAACCGCGAAACCAGCTCCTTATTTTGGATGGAAGACATAAGGTAGAGTTAGAAAAGATTAACTATCCTGGGGAGATTTCTAGTGTGGGGAATTATAAGAAATTTATAGATCATCATGAGATTTTTTTTATCTTAAATCTCTTTTCCAGAACAGTCATCCTAATAAACAACATCAACAAAAACAAGTAGCAACAACCGTAACAAAATCCAATCAACCAGAGTTGTCAGAACACAATGACCCTAAAATGTTCCAGTTCATTCCCTGACAGGTTAGCTAAAGCTCAGACTTCCCAAACATCTTTTAATAAAAACAGACATAAGAGGTAACACTATGTCTCGCATTCCTTTGTCAAATAATCAGGCAAAAATGAAAGCAGTGGGCATGCTGTCCCCCGTATGCTGAGGTACCTTTTTTGTAATCCTATTCTTGGAAACCATGGGGAACCCTAAAAGCACAACTGGAGTGAAGAAGGAACATTTGAAAGGCCACTAAAAGGTGGCTTATGATAGGTTCCAAGGGGACCCCAGTTCAGAAAATAGCAAGGCAAGTTCACCACAACAACCCTCTCAAGTCTAAACCCGCAGAACTGAGTAGAGGGCTAGAGTGTTTCCTGAACACAGAGACCATCTGCCCCCAAAAGCCAGCGCCACTGCTTCCTGGCCAAGTGACAGCAGTTAAAACTGTATGAAGCCAAGAACAAGTCCATATTTGACAAATCACACCCATCCAGTCAGTGATGTCAGCCACAATAAAATATTTTGGCAAGACTGAAAGTGTGCACCTGGGAGAACCTAGAAAGATTTGACAGACTTTTGTTTTCCAGGCCCTTTATCAGCAAGTTAATTATAGCAACCGTAGAATCTCCTCTGAGCTTTAGAGAAAGGCGATTGGCTGAATGAAAGCAAGGAGCTACTCTCCTGGGCATGGCAAAGACAAAATGACAGTAGTGCTTACACAGGAAATACTGAGTACCCAGTGAGCCAGAGAGCACAGCCTGATGGAAAAGAAGTATATTCAGCAGATGTACAGATGAGACAAACTGAAGAAAGGACACACAACACACACACACACACACACACACATACATGCACACATGCACATATGCCCATGCAAAGGCATGCATAGCTCCAGAGCCTAAACAACTCTGGTCATATCACACTCAGAGCTGCTTTTTCCCCAGAGTAGACTGTACCTTCACAGCTATAATTGTACACTGCCACCGCTGACCTGTCCACCAAATTTTCATCATGATGCCAGCTCACTGCCATCTTCCCCATGCCAAAGTAAGGCTCCTCCTTCAGGTATGGCATTTTCTGAGGATCCATGAAATTCAGTAAAGTTACATTGTATGCGGCTCTGCTCTTCATGTCCACTTCATCTTGTCCATCATAGGATGACCCCATGCCAACCCTGGGGAATTCTGCCATGCACACTGGCACAGCGTCCTCATTCTCCTTCTCTCTGACAGCCAGTTCCTCCAAAGCCTGGATGGTTTCTATCTGTAGGTAGTCATTGAGCTTGAGAAAGGTTTGACAAGCAGCACCTATTTCAGCTTCAGTGTAGTTTATAGTAGAACCTTTCACGGGCCAAGGTACAGTAAACAGTCTGGTGTTCAGGTACTTGTAGGTGCAGCCTGGATTACCAATGAGGATGCGAGATACTGGAGTGAGCAAATCTTTGCCTTGGATCCTAACCAGGTCCCGAAATAAGCAGCCATGCTTGTGCAATGTGAGAAAGGCTTCCTGGACTTCCTTATGGAGCTCCTCGGACACACTGCCAGCTTCCCGGAGAATTAGTTTAGGATATTTCAGCTGCCACTAAAACAAAGCCAAAGCAAAGATATGTGTTTATGAGCAGTTATAGTTTTAATAGCTCCAAAGGTGTGCGCTGTTGTAAGCACTGGGGGAAGGGGAGACAACCAGGTGGCATTTCTAAACAGGATTCTCATTTCCCTAGCCTAAAGTAGAAGACTAAACAAACAAATGTCACAAAGTTCCACAGTAAAGATTTTAAGTGCAAGCTCAAACTATTAATAATGCATAATACATAGAAAAATCAATAATGATGTGGGATTTGATCTCCCAGGCTTCCTCTATGAACACACTGTCCCACCTTCTGTCTCTTTAATCCTTTGACCACCCAGAAAACACAATTTTATTAATGAACTGCCCAGCACCTATTTTGTTTACTATATGCCAGGTAAAGTTCAAATATTTATGTGCATTAACTCATTTATCATAACTTTATGCAAAGTGTTAATGTTTCCAGTTAAAGATTGTACTGTTGAAGCACAGAGACTATTTCAAAACCTTTCCCAAATCATATAGCTGGTAACTGTTGAAGCTAGAATTTCAAGCCACTGTGCTCCAGTCTAGATGCATCCACAGTGAGAGTTCGAGATTGTCCAGTCTCTCAATAAATAACTAACAGGTTTCTTTTTTTTTTTTTTTAATTTGACAGGTAGAGTTATAGACAGTGAGAGAGAGACAGAGAGTAAGGTCTTCCTTCCGTTGGTTCACTCCCCAAATGGCTGCCACAGCCAGCGTTGCACTGATCCGAAGCCAGGAGCCAGGTGCTTCCTCCTGGTCTCCCATGCAGGTGCAGGGGCCCAAGCACTTGGACCATCCTCCACTGCCTTCCCGGGCCACAGTAGAGAGCTGGACTGAAGAGGAGCAACCGGGATTAGAACCCGATGCCCATATGGGATGCTGGTGCCGCAGGTGGAGGATTAACCAAGTGAGCCACGGCACCGGCCCCTGACAGGTTTCTACTTCAATGCTTTTACAGGAGGAAAATTCAATTCTCTCTGCAAGTCAGTTTAGACACTAAGTTCTATGAACACCAGACGCATGACAATTTTGTTCATGACTATAATACTAATGCCCAGAATGTACTCAGTAAATATTGGATGGATAGATGGAGGGATGGAGGGATGAATGGGTGGATGGATGCATGGGTAGATAGGTGGATGGATGGATGGGTAGATGGGTGGATGGATGGGTAGATGGATGGATGGATGGGTGGATGGACGGATGGATGGATGGAGGATGGATGGATGGATGGAGGGATGAATGGGTGGATGGATGGATGGGTGGATGTGTGGATGGATGGATGGATGGATGGGTGGGTGGGTGGGTGGATGGGTGGATGGATGGATGGATTCGTGGATGGATGGATGGATGGATGGATTCGTGGATGGATGGATGGATGGATGGATTTGTGGATGGATGGATGGGTCGGAGGAGAGACAGACGGGGTACTCCACTGCAAATCTAGAAAGCTGTAATGATTCTACTGGTGTCACTGGACACCATGGGTTCACAGATGCAGTGTAGGGCTGCATTAGCTTTTCAGCTACCACTTTGGCTCCTTAGTACTTGACTAAGAACTGATGTCAAGCCACAGTCACCTGGTTCTGTATACCAGAACTGATTTTTTTTTTTTTAAGCCACAGCACAGGATTTTACATTTACTCTTATAAAATTTATCTGATTGGTTCCTTCATAGTTTTAGGCTGCATCCTGAAGGATAAGCATGTTAACTGGCCTCCTCCGATCATTGTTATTATTCAATAATTACCATTTACGTGATAAACAAGGCATTTATTCTATTCCTTCACACATTGTTTTCCCCTCAACATGTTTACTGAGCACCTACCAAAGACCAGACAGAGACAAGGCTCCTTCCCTCAGAGAGCTCTCTATTAAATCAAGTAAGGAAAAGCAATCCCAACTTGTGTTAAGTGGTACAACAAAAAGAAATCAGTTGGAAATTCTGTCATTAGGGTAGGCAAGGCTCACGTAGGAGACTGCAGTGAAGCTAGATTGCACTTAAGCTGACATCTTCAGGAAAATAAGGCAGTAGTCAGCCACGTGATGAGCTACAGAAAGTGTTTCCCAGGAAGAGAAGTCAAAAACACAGTAAGGAAAGAGACCAGCCCTTTCCAGCATAATGAACTCAAAGGCAGTGTGACATCAGTAAGGATGGAGAGGAAGGCAGTGGCTGGAACACAGAGCCTTGGCAGTCACAGGAAGAAATCTGGGATTGAATCTGAGTATGCTAGAGGACTTCAAGGGGAGAAGAATAATTTGATTTACATTTTATAAATATCACTCTTAATTATAATATTGGGCATGGATCAGAAAGAGGCAAATGTACATGTGGAAAGTTCTATTAAGTACTATTACAACTGTACAAGAGAAAAGTGATAACAGCTTGGGCTGAAGTAGAAAAAGACTTAAGTGGACAGAAAAAGTATACATTTTATAGGGAGAATAAAAGGATGTGCTTGTGTAATTTATGTGAGAGATAAAACAATAAATAAGTTAAATGATGATTCCAGACTTCTGGGTTTCATAAAGGAATAAACACAAATTTGCTTTTTTGGTGATTAAAATAAGATGGGGGTAAAACAAGAATAGTAGAAAGAGGAACAGGGAAGAATTTCTATTCTAGAGCTGCAGCCATTAAGAAACCTGTGAAATCTCCAGGTGGAAAGAGCAAGGAGTAACTGGATATACTCAGCTGGGGCTTAAAAGAGAAAACAGGGTACAGAACTTAGGGGAGAAGTTGTCAGCACAAAGCTGGCTTTCAACTGCCTGGAAATGGATGAGCTCACCTAGGAGATCAGTACAAATACACAGGGGAACTAAAGCGAGTTCCCCAGTCACTGGAAAAGGCTCAGCAAAAGAAACCTTGTAGAAAACTAGCAGGGTATGTTAAAGCACAAGCTACAAGAAAAGAGTATTTCAAGAAGAAAGGTGTGGTCAGTTATGGCAGGGTCAAGTGAGGACAGAGATTACACACAAGGTTTGGTAGCATGCAAACTTTCGATGACAATCCAAGGGCAATTACAGCAGACTGGCAGGGATGCGAGTCAGACTTGAGCGGAAAAAAGGTGGGAGGGTGGAGATGGCATGTATAGATGCCTGAGTGCTTCTGCTATGAAGTGGAATAAAAAATTGAACCTGTTGATAAAGAGGAATGCTAGATGAAGGATCCATCTTTAGTGACAGAAGAAACGGGAATAAACCAGAATTTGTCAGTACACTCGTGGGGATGATGTGAGAGGAAGAGATTGATAAAGCAGAAAAGAAGATGAACCAAGGAGCTGAGGCCTGCGTGTCTACAGCGGCAGAGTCCCAGGTGAGGCATGCAGGGATCTGTAAGGCAATCCCTTAGGGTTGGGCCGGGGCTGGGAGTAGGAGAGAGTAGAACTGTCTTGTTTTTAATCTAAAATAAATAAATCAAACTCCACCAAACTATGTGGGTACACACATATAAACATACACATGTTTAATATTAGTAAATTATAAAATAGACCTAAGTGCCATTTATGCACTTACGTCTCTACAAATAACTACAACGTGTACGGGAATCTCTTCATATCTGCTCATGGGCACCTACTGTATACATCTCTTCCCAACTGCACATTCAGGAACACCATGATGGCAGCTTGAAACTGGCTGTGGCTGGAATGTTTACACTACAGAAATCAGGAAACTAAATATCAGTGCTGGGTTTTGTGCCCCAGGGAGCTAGTTGTTGAACACTTAGGAAATACTACTTTATGTGTTCAACAATTTTCCTGACATGAATATGTAATCAAAAATAGCCAGAGTATAGATTGAAAGGAGAAATATGTAAATTCAGATTTGGTGGTAAATTTCTTAAGGGGCAGATGAGTAAGTTCCAAGGACTGTCTTTTTGTTGTTCCCTGTTGCTGTTATTTTGTTTTTTGTTCATTTGTTTAATGGTTGGGGAGCATTTCAATGTTCTCAGTGAAGCACGAAGTGAATCAGTAGCTAGGAATGTGTGCTAGTCATTGGAGTTGTTTGCCAAACAGTTCTGGGTTCTTCTCTTAACACCCAGGTTTTTGAGCCCAATGTGGAATTACACTTCCTGGTGCTCTCATAAAAACATATGAAAATTTCTGACCAGTTGGAAGTGATGGCTGTCACTTGCAGCCTGCAGTACTTGGCCAGTGCAAACCTCCCAGAACACTCTGTTTCCTTTTGGCATGGTAACCAGCTGAAGGCTGTTTGGATCCCTGAGTCACCTCAGTGAGTAGTAATTCTCTGCCAACCCACAAATGGTATGTAAAATGAACAAGAAATATTGCTGTGTGAAGACTCTGGCTGATGCAAAGTACAGGAAATAAAAGGTGTGTAGGAAGTGAGACTAAGTGCACAGGAGAAAAGTGAAATTAGTCAAGTCTGAAGGTGGGAAAATGAGCTTACTAATAAATAAGCATAATGGGATGGCCCCGCTTCTACAGATGCTATATTGCATAGTGTGGAGAACAATGACAAGACAGAAAAGTCTCTACACGTTTAGTGCAAAAGCAACAGTTTTCATGATTATTTTTGACCTGTAGCTGATAGACTTCATGGATACAGTGGGCCCACTGTAATTTAAACAAAATTTTTAAAAAAAGGTTTTCTTCCCTAGTCTCATGCATCTTCCCTGTGACCGGCTCTTTTCTTCAGTACTCAAGGACCCAGCATTTCAGCACTTCCCCTTCGAGCAGGCTCCATAGCTGGCTCGCCCTCCCAGCCTCCAGGCCACCTTTTCTAAGTAACATTTTTTTCGAAGAAACCATCCCTGAATCTCCACCCTCAAATAGATACCTGCCATTATCATTCATCACACATTTTACTTACCTGTCACAGCACTCATCATTTGTAACTGTGTTTTTATTTGAACTATTATTTAATAAGCTGTCTTACAACATTGCAAACTCCCAGAAGGAGGAGGCAGTAGCAATTTTATTCCTCATTATATTCCAGGCACTTGGCTCCAAATATGGGCTGAAGAT